CCTCGTCTCCCTCAACATGAACTTCTGCTCCGAGGCCAACTTCTGGCTTCTCATCAATGCCACGGACCCGGCCGGGCAGCTCCAGTGGCTCGTGGGCGTCCTGGCGGGAGCGGAGGCGGCCGGCGAGAAGGTGAGCGGGGGTCCCGGGTGGCGCTGGCCTCAGAGCGGGACGCAGGGTGGCTCCACCCACAACTGTCCCTGTCCAGGGCTTGCCTAGCCGAGCCGGGTGAGGCTCCCCGGGTGCGTTGGGTGGGCCCGTGGCAGGCAGGAGGGGGGGATGACAAGGTGCTGCCGTGCCCTCACACGTCTGCGACACGCCCCCGCAGGTGCACATCATCGGGCACATCCCGCCCGCCCACTGCCTGCGGAGCTGGAGCTGGAACTACTACCGCATCGTCAACAGGTGAGCGCCCAGACGCCAGGGTGCGGGCCACCCGGTTCTTGCCAGGATGCAGACAGGTCTGGGTGGGGTGCCCCAGGCACTGCCCTGCCCTGCCCTGTGCCACCCCCATGCCGCCCCACGCAGGCACTCAAAACTGCAGGAGTTGGGGCAACAGCGTGAGCGGGACACAGCCCATGTGGAGGGGGACGGAGCGAAGGACAGCGTCCCGCCGTCCCGCCCATCCCTGTAGCCCCCCCTCAGCACAGCCAGGCCCTGTGCAGCTCAGCCCCGGCTCCAGGCACGGTTGTCCCGTCCCATCCTCATCCGACCTGGTCCTGACGTGACCCTGCATCCCTGTGCAGAGACTCAGCCCAGTCTAAGAGGCTTCAGGAGCCCCAGCCATGCCTCCGCAATGCAGGGATGAGGGCATCCTTGCCCTGCTGCTGCCAGGGAGGTCCGTGCACCCAAGAGACATCGGGCAGAGGCCGTGCCCTCAATGTGGGGGAAAGGAGACGCCCCAGTCCATGCCCGTCGGAGCAGGGCGGAAGTCCCTTCCTGCCCCCAGTGCAGCATGGGGCCGAGCCTGAGCCCAGGGGCAAGACCCTTCAGCCAGGACTCTGCAAAGTTGGTCCCAGGAGCGTTGGCGCAGCCCAGTCCCCGTTCCCAGCCTGAGCCGCACCCAGCGCCTCGGGGCAACTGAAAAATCCCTGACACCTGTAGCAACAGGAAAGGAAAACTAATTTCCTCCCAGGCTCACAGGGCAATGGCAATACCCTGAGTCCCGGGAGATCCCCGTGACCCAGCGCAGGCATCGCTGCGCCTAGATCATCCCTGCCCAGCCTCTGCTTGAACGCTCCAGGGACCGATCGTACCCCATCCCCTGGCGTCCATCCTACGGCCTCCCTGCTCCGACAGGGAAGCGCTGCCCGAGACCAATCTAAACCGGCTTAGCTGCAGTTTCAAGCCGCCTGATCTGCGCTGCTGTGCCCGGGGTGGCTGCTCCCTGCAGCCAGAGAAAAGCTTATGCCCTTCAGCACTGTCCCCTCCCTGTCCCCCTGCAGTTGGCCTGTGCCGGGGTACCGGGTCTGGGGGCTGCCTGGCTGGAGCCAGGCACGTGGGCTCCCCTGCACGGGGGGCTCCAGTGCAACCGAGCCAGCAGCCTGGGGGGCCTGGCCCAGCCCAGCCGGTTTTGCAGGGGCCATAAGGACGTCCCAGTGCCCACGGGCCTGGCCCTAATTCCCCGCCCCCCCTCCTTGCATTGCCACAGGTTTGAGAGCACCATTGTGGCCCAGTTCTTTGGCCACACGCACCTGGATGAGTTTGAGATGTTCTACGACGAGGAGACCCTGTCGCGTCCTGTCTCTGTGGCCTTCGTGGCCCCGAGCGTCACCACCTACATCAACCTCAACCCTGGTGAGTGCCCCAGGTGGGCCTGTGCACCCCGGGGAGGGGGTGGGGGATGCAGCCTGTGTCTTGGGGCCTGTTGGGAGCCACAGCGGGGGGGGGGAGGGAGCAGTGGCACTGCCCCGCCCCGGCCCGTAGGCTACCGCGTGTACCAGCTGGACGGGAACTACCCCGAGAGCTCGCACATGGTGCTGGACCACGAGACCTTCATCCTGAACCTGACTGAAGCCAACGCAGCCGGGCCAGGGGCCACGCCACACTGGCGCCGCCTGTACAGGGCACGCGAGGCCTATGGGATGCCTAATGCCTTCCCGGCCGACTGGGACCAGCTGCTGCGGCGCTTCCAGGACGACGAGCGCCTCTTCCAGCGCTTCTGGTTCCTGTTCTATAAGGGGCACCCGCCGCGCGAGCCCTGCCTGGACGCCTGCAAGGCCGCGCTGCTCTGCACCCTGCGCACCGGCCGCCGCGACGACCCTGCCCTGTGCCACAGCCTGCGCCCCACCCTGCCCTTCGCCCACATCCAGCGCTTCTGGGACCAGCGCCGCCTCTGCTGACCCGCGCGCGGGGGAAGCTTGCTGCACTTGGGCCCCGCAAGGGGCATAGACAGATGCCAGCCCTGGGCGCAGGGGGCCCTGCTCGGCTGTGCCAGAACGCCGGGGATGGGGTACGCTCCACCGTCCCCTTCCTGGCTGCAAGCGGGTGGAGGGGAAGAGGCAGGTGTGTTGGGGCCAGGCCTTTGCAGGGGGGAGGGGGGGACTGCAGAGCAGAGTGGATTTTATTTCAATCGAATCAATTTCATGGTTTAAATCACAGGTCAGGAAACCTCGCTTTAATCGTTTTCTGCAAAAAGTGTGTTTTTGTTGTTTTAATACCCTCTATTCCAGCGGTTCCCAGCGTGCGGTACACGTGCCACCAGCGATATGCATTAGCAGATTTATTATAATTACTTTATATGACAAATGTTTGCTGGCAGTACTTAAGGTTGCGTTGTTTTAAATTGGTAGCGTGCAATCCGTCAGTGGGTGTGAACCGCTGCGCCATTTGTTTAACTTCTTGAAACTTTGCACTTTTAGAGAGAGAGGTATGGGCTTGACTGTGTGCGCACAAACTTGAAGGGAGACGAGGGCTGCTGGTGGGTAATCAGGTCTGTTCTCTCTCACCTCCACATACTGCTGTTAACAAGGATGTTACCTCTGGAGACAATACGTTCTCCCTAAGCCAGACAAAGGGTGTTTGTGCCTAAAAGCTTACAGAGAACCATTTTTCCAACTACTTCGTTGGTCTAATAAAAGATATCACATCTACCCAAAGAACCTCATCTGTCTATGATCTCTGGAGAGACAAATCCAGTTTGAGAACTGAAACTAAGCTTCACAGAGACGCTTAATAGGATCTTCTAGCCTGAGCGCTTGGTCCCATTGGGTAGAGTGGTTTTCTTTACTAATCGATAGAGACTCCAGGAGGCTCTTAGAGCCTCTAGGAACCCCATGAGATTGGGTGGGCCCCTAATATAGTCCACGGCCTGTTGTGACCTACTGATAAAACTTCTAAAAAAGTTACATGAATATATTGTCTCTAATAGCATAGAATTAGAAGGTCTAACCCCTATCCCCTGATGATAGCTTTGAGCTTTAATTTATCTTTAAAAAAAACTATTGTTACATAAGTTTATTTTTAAAAATATGATTAAAAAAATCTGATTTAAATTTTTAAAAATTGTTGATTTTTATCCACCCTGCTTCAGAGCCTGCTGCCACCAGTGCAATAAATGAGTGTGAAGGACCCAAGCTGGGGCCATATCTGGGAGGTGGGGGAAGAAGTCTGCAAAGGATGCGGGGAGGATCGGTGCAACCCCGCCGCATGGCGCAGGAGGGAGTGGAGCCGGGCCGAGCTGGTGGAATGAGTTTATTAACGATTTAGTACAACACAGATCTCTTGTTATAGCAGAGATAGTGGCTGGGGGCCGGAGCCTGCGTGGCACCCCAGCACCTGCCCCCGTGGGGTTAACCAGCGGTTAGGTCGCATGCACGGGGCGCAGGTCAGGCCCCTCGCTGCCCGCAGCCCCAGGAGTCCCCCCTCCCCCCAGCTGTGCCAGGTGGGACCCCCCAGCCCAGCCCCGGCGGCGCTGG